GTTGTTATGAGGAATTTGATCTTTTTCTTATATATTAGTCAGAAACATAGGTCTACTGTATGCAAGTACATATACTGTATTGCATACAAGCCAATGCTTCTAGATGTGATGAATGTGTTTGATTCACTTAAAAGAACCAGTTCGTATGATTAACTCATTCATGAATCAGTCTACACAGGATGCACAGGATGTGTTTGATTCACTTAAAAGAACTGACTCATAAGAGTCATTCATTGAAGAATTGGACTTGTTCAGGATTCTCTGTATGTGTTTGATTCACTAAAAAGAGCCAACTCATAAGAGTCATTAGATTTAGAAACAGACTACACCGACATTACAAAGCTGCTGCAGGAAAACCTTTCAGAGTATTTTACTATTGTGTGCATTGGCGGAAGTGCTGTTAAAAAATTTAAAATGATTCTTTGTTCCCAAACTTGCTTAGGACACAGTGTACCACTTTTGGTCGGGTGGCACAGATAAAGTAACTCTATTGCCCCTACGAGTACTGTGACCCTTGCATAAATACTTGCTTAAAGTATGTTTATGGCCTCTCTCTCAAGCTGTTTCACCTCTCTGCCTTTCTTTTTTCTTCTCTTTTCTCTTGTTTGACTTCCACAGCTAATCGCTCTGCCCTTGCTACGAGTCGAGTCTTTCAGCAGTTGGTCTGCTTGATCACCTGGCTCCCATTGCTGCGCTCATGCTGAGTCGAACTCGCTCGGAATAGTAAATAGAACTGTAGCCTGAATGTCGTCCTTTTCATCCACTTCCTCGTTCTGACACTCCCCTGCTGCTCCTCAGAGGTCTAAGATAAGCTTCACAATACTGCTGAATAAAATTGTTTTTTTTGTGTTTTTTTTGCTAAGAGGACTGGAAATGACGGAAAGAGGATCCCCTAATGCAGGGGTTTTCAGTCCTGCTTCTGGAGGGCCAATATTCTGCAGAATTTAGCTCTAACCTGTCCCAAACACACCTGCATGGGTGTCTAGTAATCCTGATTAACTGGTTCAGATGTGTTTATTTTGGATTTTATGGCTTTGGATTTTATCTGGATTTCTTGTATCTTGTTTTATCTATAAGGGCCTAAAACTAGACTTTTTATAAAAATAGCCAAGTCTTTGTCGGATACTTCTCTTCATTTTCTACACTTGGTACCCAGGATTTGATTAGCCAATGGTTGGGCTGTGCCTGTGTTTCTGTACAGCAGTAATTAATATTTACAGTTTCATTGTATTCATGTGAAGCCTTGCATATTGTCCAACAGTTCAACTAATTCTTCTAAAATGCCTTTAATAACATCACATTCAATTACAAGCCAGTTATGTAATGACTTTCACCCTATCCAATTAGTGAACTGAAAAAAAGAACCTCCAGTCAGAACAAAGAGTGCATCTATGAGGCCTGTGCATTGTTGGATACACTTCTAATCCTGTTCTCTAGCTTTAAGCCCTCAATTAAAATGAACGAACATGGAATCTTGACCTTCTCACTCATAAATATTTTTTTTTAAAGTTAAAAGTTAAGTTTTCACTTCAAAATAACATTTAAACAGAAATGGCATAATAAACAGAACTGGCATAACTGCCCATTGTACAACATTTGGGAGGGAAATTGAGAATAAACATGCATTTAGGCTAAATTGTTAGAAGTAATGTTGTACAAATGTATAGATTTTTTTTTTTTTTTTCGAAAAGAGTATACATATACATTGTAAATGTTTGTGAACTATTATTATTTTTCGCTTGGGTAATATAATGTGTCAGATCTAAAAATCTAAAATAATAGAGTAATTATAGTTTGAAAAGCCATTTCACTCAGATATACATCACAATAGGCAAGAAAAAAAAAACAATCGCAACATTCATTTAATGCTGACTTTAAAGGAATAGTTCACCCCAAAATGAATATTTAGTCACAAGATGTAGATGAGTTTGTTTCTTCATGGGAATAAATTTGGGGAAAATTTGTTCTTGCTCACCAGTAGATCATCTGCAGTGAATGGGTGCCGTCAGAATGAGAATCCAAACAGCTGATAAAAACATTACAATAATCCACGCGGCTGCGTGTTTGTAATGAACGAATCCATCATTTAAGACATTTATAACTTCAAGGTGTTGCTTCTGGCTAAAATACAAGCCCATAATCCATAATATTGGTTTGACCAGAGAAAAGTCATCTTGTCTGAATCAAGAGAGAAATATGCACAGATAAGTACCATTTACAACTGAAAACAAAATAGTTCTAAAAATATATGTTGGTGGATTTTGATGTGAGAGGACAACAAGGGATGAACTTTTTCACTGGAGGAAGAGTTATTATGTTAAACTGCATTAAGGATGGATTTGTTTCTTACAAACACACAGCTTTTCACGTCATAAGATGTTAGTTGATGGAGTGGAGTTGTGATGTTTTTATCAGCTGTTTGGACTCTCATTCTGACGGCACCCATTCACTGCAGAGGATCCATTGGTGAGCAAGTGATGTAATGCTAAATGTCTACAAATCTGTTCCCATGAAGAAACAAACACATCTACATCTACAGGATGGCCTGAGGCTGAGTACATTTTAGATGAACTATTGCTTTAAATTTGATCTGGCCCCATTTTAAAGGCGATTGATGGAGTGGCATCATTGCTGTCATTTTGTTGATTGCATGAAAGCGATTTGGGTAAACAAATGACTCTTATGAGTATGGCCTGAATATTATTTTACCCAATAAAAAAGAATCAAGAATAAAGGGGGAAATAATTATTAGAGTATATTATGAAAGTATTATGTTTCTTTTGAAGTATCATGTTTGCTATTCAGTTAAAAATCTATAAGCTAAAATATACTTGGAAATTTGAATGGTTGATGTTGAGATCCTCCCCAATTAGTATGCCAAACTAATTGGGTTTATTAATTGTACTGGTCAAACCAATTGGAATAATCAGGGGTACGTGTGCCCCTCATTGCCTGCATGCAGTGGATGCGGACACTGTTTACAAGCACTGAATCTGGGCTCATACCAACCACAAAGTGAAGAAAGAGCGAGAAGAAGAGATAGATAGAGAGAGAGAGAAAGTAAGGACAGGTTATTAAAGTGTTATGGTGATAGAAACATAAGTGTTTTTCTTTTCTCTGTTCTGGCACATGGTCACATATCTTTAATGGCTTTAAAGGGGACTTGCCTCTTCTGAGAGCACTTCACGATCCATGTCTTTTCCACTGTCAGTGCAACATAATTTGTTTGTGCTCCTTACAATGGGACTATTGTTCTTAACTGGATTATAGAAGAATGTCATATGCATTATGTTAAACTTTAGGTTTTATTTTACAAGGGAATATGATGAGCGGTGCCTACAGTTCAGGCAGACATTACCGAAACTTGCATAAGTTGTTTTGCTATCTAAAACTGATGTTTGTTTAGCCATTTCTCAGACCGTTAAATATTGACTCATTTATCAATAAATCATACTGTATATTGACACTGCTTATATAATGGTTAGGCTTTATCATAAAAGCAGTTATTCACATATATTTATAACAACGCACTACCATTCAAAACTTTGGGGGCAGTAGGATTCTTTTTTTAAATGTTAAAATGAATACTTTTATTTAGCAAGGATGCATTAAATTGATCAAAAATTACAGTAAAGACATTTATGATGTTACAAAAGATTTCTGTTTTAAACAAATGTTTATTAAGCAGCATATCAGCATTTCTGAAGGATCATGTGACACTGAAGACTTGAGTAATGGCTGCAGAGAAATTCAGCTTTGCCGTCACAGGAATAAATTACAAGATATATTGAGATAAAAATTAGTTATTTTAAATTGTAATAATATTTCATAATATTACTGTTTTTACTCTTTACTTATTTTTGCCAAATAAATGCAGCCTTGAGGAGCAGTAAAAGTTAACTTTTGAATGTCAGTTGACCCACAATACATAAAAATTTAATATTTATTTATATTAATTATATATATATATTAATATTATATCTAATACTATTGACTCTATGCAATTAAAAAAATACAAATTAATGCACCAAATTGCTTGCTTAGCAGTTAATTTATTTAACTTTTTATTAAATATTGGTGACTTAGCATTTGCCACAGTTTTTTAAAAGCAAAAATCCACAAGAGGCATCAAAATGGTCAAATTTACTATGGTCAGAAGACACCCACTAAAATGTCATTCAGTGTAACATTCTTGTCAGACATATTTACAACAAAAATCAATTTATGACAGATTAAAAGACTAATTACTTTCACCCCAAATACTAATTAGTTGTAATTTTACATTTTTTTTAAATTTGCCACTATCCTAGGTTTTGCCCATTTGTCAGTAAGAATTTTAACTCATTTAAAACACAATCAAATTTAATATGCTCCCTTATTCTTTTATATATTTTAATATGTACAAGTCAGAATAAGCATGTTGTTTGAATTTTTACATAAATATTGTTACACTGAATGACATTGTAACATTATTTCAACAAAATTTTACATTTTATTCTCCAAAAACTTATTTGAAACCTTAAAAGTAGACACTTTACTTACATTTAATGTGCTTTCTATGGACATATAATCACTTTTGTAAATTTCTTTTGATGCGGACATCTTAATGTCTCTGACCCGTATACATTTTTAACGTTTGAATTATATATAAATATTAACCACAATTTTTTTTTTGTTAGTATATCTTTATTGCCATAAATATATATATATATATATATATATATATATATATATAATTTTTTTGCTCTATATAATACAGACCTAGAAATCTAGACAGTAAATAAACTAAATATACAAAATGTTAAAAATACCGTGCTCACTTGTCAGTGAACTTTCCAAGACAGGACCTCTGATACCATGACTATGTACAGCAGTTATTACATCAGTGTGTCGCTGCATGTTGATAAAACACAAAAAACATCAGCAAATCATCCGCCAACACTTCTGTTCAGTGAAGAATGAGCTACTTTTTTCCAGTCACCTTATTTTCAGTGTCTCCAATGACGAGTGCAGTATGTTGATCATGTCCACCCTCCTAAATGTTGGTATCAACAGAGGCCTATCAATGAACTTTCCAAAATTCTAGGATTTTACTGTGTTGGTAGACATTATACACTTGTAGCCTATTTTTCATGCTATGACTGATCTAGTATTTCCAGTGAACTTTGTTTAAGTGTTTTGACCCACAAATGTCATTTGTTTAACCAAAGGAGATTTAGGAGGCGGGTTTAGTCCTGTGCATCTAACATCTAATGACCTCAATAAAACCACATAAAAGCAAGTATACTAAATTGTATTGCTTTTTATTACCGATATTGTTACAGACTACTTCATCTGCCCTAAAAGGAGCTATCCAGCTTGGCATTGGTTACACCGTGGGGAATCTGACCTCAAAACCTGACCGAGATGTTCTCATGCAAGACTTCTATGTGGTGGAGAGTGTGTTTTTACCCAGGTATGAACAGAGGACAATGATGCAAACATTAGCTGCCTACGCATGTTGTTGTCAAAGTGGTCTGGAATGAGGAAATTCTTTCACAATTTATCACCCATTGCATTTAGTTTGGGTCATCGGCTCTTCAATTCTTCTCAAACAAGGAAATCTTCTCAAATCAGGGCATCTTGCAGTGTTTGATCACACAACTTGAAACTTGAGCTCATTCTACTTCCTGCACAGTTGATTCTCGCACAAATGATTCCCAAAAGCTCTTTAGAGTGAGCAGAGAGTTGATACAAGATTCAAAGAGACGACACTGATCCACTAGCCTGACTTCCTTATTTATAGAGTCTGATTCTCTCATTAGGGATTGCACTCCGGTTGCATTTGTTCGTCCTCAGTTTGAACCAATTTGACAGTCTATGGTTGTGTTCGAGATGGAATACTAGTGTACTAGTTACTGTATTTTGTGTATACTTTGTGATGCTTGCTATTTAAAAAAAAACAAGCATGGGATGTGCAGCAAAGCCATTATCTGTATTTACATTGGGAGTGATTATGGGAAATTATTTGTATTCGTATTTGCATTTGGCCAGAAGTGAAAGCATGACTTACTGTAAATTGGTTCAAACTAATCAAAGAAGCACATTAATTGTTTCCTTAAAGCGCATACTTCTTACCCAGTTCATACACTACCGTTCAAAAGTTTGGGGTTGGTAAGATTTTATGTTTTTGAAAATGCTCACCAGTGTTGCATTTATTTGATCACAATTATAGTAAAACAGTACAACTGTGAAATATTATTACAGTTGAAAATAACTGTTTTCTATTTTAAAATGTAATTTATTCCTGCGATGCAAAGCTGAATTGTCGGCATCATTACTCCAGTCTTCAGTGTCACATGATCCTTCAGAAATCATTCTGTTTTGCTGATTTGATGCTCATGAAACATTTCTTATTATTGTCAATGATGAAAACAGTTGTGCTGCATTATAGTTTTGTGGAAAACATAATACACTTTTTTAGGATTCTTTTTTTAATAGAACGTTTTAATGCATCCTTGCTGAATAAAAGTATTAATTTCTTTAAAAAAATTGTACTGACCCCAGATTATTAAATGGTAGTGTAAATATAGTATAGTATATAGTAGTAGTGATTATGCATAACAGATTCTTACATGCTTTATATGCACTTGGAATGACAATAGAATAAAATTAAATTACATATGCCAAAAAACATAACAATTGTTATACTGTATATATAAGCCAAATAGCCAAATATATATATATATAACTAAATCCAGAGATAGGGCATCACAGGCATTTTTCATAGAGAGTAGATGATTATTAAACAGAGGGCACTTAGACTTTGATATTATTGACTTTATAGGCATAGCACATGTGTACATATGTTGATTAAAATATCGCTCTACACTTACTTTGAATATAAAATATAAGTCTAATTAAGTTTTTTTAATATTACTCAGAAGCATTTGTTATTCGGTTTAAGGTCATATTATATTGCTTTTCTGAGCAAGGTAATCAGGCACATCCTATACTACAGAAATATGCTATGCTAACATATTTACATTTACATTTATGCATTTGGCAGAATGCTTTTATCCAAAGCCACTTACATTGCTTTCAAACTACACATTTGATCAGTTCTTGCTTTCCCCGGGAATCAAACCTATGACCTTGGAGTTGCTAGAATTGTGCTCTACTGTTTGAGCAACATAGACTGCATTACCAAATATAAGGCCAAGAAAAATTACGCATTCGTCTATGAGACAGATTTGACAATGCGGAAGCCCTATTTTTCAGAGTTAGGTCATTCGTCTGTCCCTCACCAGTCTGCTATTGTTTTAGTTCATAGGAAAAACTCCAATTCAGAGGTAAATTTTGGATTGGGTTACACAATGGGCATGGATTGGGGCTTAATAGTGAGTCATAGTCTGAAACGGCTAATCCTCAGAACTCATTCAAGTGCCCTGAAAAAAACAGCAACCCTCTAACCCACTTGTGAGGGATCACAGGCACTTCTTGTTTATCGTAATTTTGAGTGATTATGACATCATCTGGCCCTTTCAAATCATACTTTTAGGAATTATTCAAACGGGGTTAATCCAAATACTAATGCCCTGCCTCATAATAGCAAAAGGCGAAATGTGGGTTACAAGATTTTTTTTTTTCCAGGGCTTGCTTACATTTCATCATCTGTAACTGATGTGACTGACCCTGGTCTTTAGTTTGTGTAACCGTTAATAGAGAAAGCCTAGGACCTCCTTGTCCTCAGGCATTGGTTGCTGTTGTGTGTCTCTGGAAAAGATTACCTCTGGTGTTTACTGCTGGTGGGTCACATTGCAACAAGGACGCACTCAATGGGACTCAGAAAGATCAAATGTGTCTCTATTCCTTAGGCATAAAGGAGCATTTAGGTTAGGTAACTTCTCACAGGATAATGTTTACAGACAGAGCCCAGATTCTGCCCAGAAGCCTCTTGTGTTGGGGAATGTGAGAATCATTAATGCAACACACAGTTGATTCACTTATTTGCTTTGTTTTTGTTTTTTTTTGCGATGCATTAAGCAAATACTTTCACTTTTGCAGTGAGGGGAGCAACCTGACTCCAGCGCACCATTATCCAGACTTCCGTTTCAAGACGTACGCACCACTGGCTTTTCGCTACTTCCGGGAGCTGTTCGGGATCAAGCCAGATGATTACTTGGTAAAACACACTTTTCGATTTCTATTGGTTTTGGCCACATTAGAGGGCACATTAAATTGACCAAACGTGACAATAAAGATATTTATAATGTTGCAAAAGAACATTTAACATAAATGCTGTTCTTGAATTTTATATTCGTCAAAGAATCCTGAATTTTTTTTTTTATCAGTTTCCACAACTATATTAAGCAGCACAGCTGTGTTTAACTTCAGTAATAATAATAATAATAATAATAATTAATGTTTCTTGAGCACCAAACCAGCGTATTAGAATGATTTATGATGGATCATATGACACTGGAGTAATGGCTGCTGAAAATTCAGCTTTGCATCACAGAAATAAATTACATTTTAAAATATAATAAACTAGAAAACAGTTATTTCAAATTGTAATAATATTTCACAATTACTATTTTTACTGTATTTTCGATCAAATAAATGTACCCTCGTTGAGCATAAGAGACTTCTTTCAAAACATGTAGGTCTACATGTCTTATTTTGCATGATATTTCATCAAGATATAATAACTTGTTTCGCCCTCTACACAACTTTTATTTTAATGTGACATCACAAATCCTTTTTGCCTTTTTAACGCATCTCCTCCAACCATCTGAATTCTTTTTAGTATGTAACGCCAGCTTTTTGCAATCTAACCAACTGTTAAGAGATAAAATAAAGCACTATCTTACTTAAAAAAATTTTTTTAAATAAGGTTTATCTCAGAAATACATCATATTACAAAAGTAAACTGGGTTGTGAACAATATTTCATGTTGACTTTAATAGAAGACAAGAGCTGACAGGAAATGATGTGGCGACTGCAGGGGAAATGCAAACCAGTTCCGTTCATCACAAACTGCTATGGTTCTGATTAAACACATTTTTCACCTCCATATTAATGCCAAGACTATTATGTGTCCCGTTCCCTTAAATTTCCCTCTCTCTGAGCCATAACAAAGCATCTTTGTATAAATTAAAGTTCAGTGGCTGCTTACATCAGGTGCCAGTAAGACTGACCAACAGTACTACTGACCCCTGACGAACTTCTTTGCTGCACCTTGCCAACTGTGACTGGCAGGAACTCCGAATTTACGTCCTCATTTGTAAATTCCCAGCAGGGTTTAGCGGTTTGATTTGATGTGTTCTCGCTATGTAAGATGTGTCCTGGCACATTGAGGTGTTGGAGGTGTACGTTTCCCTGCACTGCAACACTGCCTCGCTCTGACTCGCAGCCACTGCAGTGCCTCTGCAGCATCTCTGCAGTTCTTGTACATTTTGATCTGCATGTTTGTGTGTGTGTGTGTCAAGGGTGGATGGTGCTGATTAGGCGTATGATCTCAGTTGAGCTGTTAATTGCCTCCTCTATCGCAGCCACTGCAGTGCCTCTGCAGCATCTCTGCAGTTCTTGTACATTTTGATCTGCATGTTTGTGTGTGTGTGTGTGTCAAGGGTGGATGGTGCTGATTAGGCGTATGATCTCAGTTGAGCTGTTAATTGCCTCCTCTGCTCTTTGACATCTAATGGCCTTGTAATTAGCCCAGCAGAGCGGTATCACTCCCAGGTGCCTGATAGTCTGGTCTACCTGTGTTATTTGTGAACCTGCATTATATCATCCCCTGTTATGAATCTATTGTGCACCACCTTTAGCTTGCAGTAGACAAAAATGTTAATTGGAGTATGTGCAATGCAACGCAGATGCTGGGTTTTGTGATTTCTCTAATGATAAGGGAAGACCTGGTTACATAATACCATTCAGAAGCTAACTTTTTGCATTCTACATTTTGCATAGGTGAATGGGAGTTCCTTTTTATTTGCATTTACTATGGACTATATTCCAGAAAAATCAGTATGAAGTGACTCAAGTGCATAGTATCAGTAAATCTGTTTAAGTTCAGAGTTCTTATATAGCTGAAGGGGTAAAGCACGGCAAATGCCAAATTTTGCAGTGCCAAAGTTGTGTTTTCTATGCTCAGGGAATATAAATACTACCATTCAAAAGATTGAGGTCGTTAAGATATTTGAAGCTAACTTTTTGCATTCTACATTTTGCATAGGTGAATGGGAGTTCCTTTTTATTTGCATTTACTATGGACTATATTCCAGAAAAATCAGCATGAAGTGACTCAAGTGCACAGTATCAGTAAATCTGTTTAAGTTCAGAGTTCTTATATAGCTGAAGGGGTAAAGCACGGCAAATGCCAAATTTTGCAGTGCCAAAGTTGTGTTTTCTATGCTCAGGGAACATAAATACTACCATTCAAAAGATTGAGGTCATTAAGATATTGAATTGTTTTGAAATAAGTCTCTTATGCTCGCCAAGGCATCAAATAAATGCAGTAATTTTGTGAAACGTTGTCAGTATTCTTCACTACATTTAATGTTTATTTCAGTGGGTGGCTTTCCAGTTATTATTTCTCAAATACAGTTATTTATGCATTGTGTATATCTTACATTTCGGCAAACTGATAAAATGGTCAACATGATATTCCATCACCTGTTGGACTAGAAATGGAAGATCATTGCATTGTGCGGTACAGTATTCCATCCAAAAATAGTATGAATAGTTTAATCTATTATACGCACATCTGAAACCTGTATTTTTAGGCAAGTATACCAGATATGGTTGTCATGTCATTTTTAAGTGGACATAACACACACAGTTTCTGCCAATCTCATGTTAATCTTGAGTACCTATAGAGTAGTATTGCATCATTCATATCTCCGAAGAGTCTTTAGTTTTATCACATTTTTGCCCATACAAGGAATTCCGCCCTTCATGATGTCATACAGGGCCATACTCGGAAAAAAAAACTTTCTGAAACTTATACAAACCCTGAAGGAGTGTCTTTGGTACAGAAATACTCAGTCATACGTCCAACTCGTTTTTTGAGACTTTGGTCATGTTTGGCATGAGAATCCAACTCTTTAATGGTGTAAATAAGTCAGAATGCATGAAATAGCATTAGACATCCCCTTTAATGTGATGTCTATAAGTATATAAGTATATAAATATAAAAGTTTATATTTAAGGTGATCACAATTTAATAAAAACTGAGCAAAACTCCGGCGTTTCAGAGATGACTCATCTGAGTGCCTCTGATTGGCGATTGCATTCATAAGCTCAACAGAATTGTGTGTGATTGGTTATAATGCGCAACACTGTAAAACCACGTAAAAAGAAATGCAACATGAGCAGATCTAAATTTAATGCTGCAATCAACACTTTTCATTTCATTTTCACTTTATTTGCGACATCCGTAATAGATAATTGTGTTTTTTAAAGGAATAATTGTGTTTTTTAAAGGAATAGTTTACCCAGAAATGAATATTTTCTCACCCTCGGGCCATCCAAATTGGATTGAATTGGTTTCTTCATTCAGAGATTTAATATTACCCTCTGCAGTGAATGGGTGCTGTCAAAATGAGAGTCCAAACAGCTGATAAAAACATCACAATAATCCACACGACTCCAGTCTATCAATTTAAATCTTGTAAAGTAAAAAAAAGCTGTGTGTTTGTAATAAACAAATACATCAAGGCGTTTTCAACTTTTTCACATTTTTAAACCATCACTTTTGGCCAAAATGTGTTGTCCTCGATCCATAATATTGCTTTCTCCAGTGACAAAGTCATCTAGTCTGAATCAGGGGAGAAATATGCGCAGATCCAACAAAAAATTTCCAAAACAAAAGTTCTAAACATATGTTGTGGATTTTGATGTGAGAGGGCAACAGGGGATGGACTTTTTTTGGGGGAGTATATTTTCAGCATTTTTTATATTTTTTAGTGAACTATTCCTTTAAGACCTTTTTTTTGTACAAGGAAATGTTTTGTACTGTAACTGGGCACTAAACATTCAAACGAATGTACAAAGTAGGAATGATGTCTAAAATGCAGTAGGAAATGGTCAGGCTAAGATGAAAGCAAGTGATTTTTCATGCTCTTCTGAGTTTGTTGTGTACATTTTTATAATTATGTAGATAGGGCTGAGGAAGCACAAGCTAATGAAAAAGCCCCACATACGCGGTATGACACACAGTCCAAATGCAAATGTCCATGTGTTTGGGCTGGAAGTACAACGTGACTGTTGACTTTCATTAGGCAGGCTTTGAATATGAGTGTCTGGCCTCGGTTCAACACTGTCCTCTGGCTGCCTCCTCAGGGAACCCTGCCAGAAAAGCCAGTAATGTTTGCTTTAAGACCTCATAATGTTTGGGGGGTTTTATGCGAGCCCAATTAAACCACATGACTTCCAGGCAGTAATCAGCTGATCTTTCAGTGTGTAAGGCAAACTGTTTTTGGGAAACACATTCAGATACTGCAGCCAGTCAATTTGGTGATGTTTTATAAGTCATGTGTTATGAGTAACTCCTTTCTTTAGGGTTTACTCTTTGTTGCCAGTTTAACATAAATATGAATTGGTGATTAGGTGTTTTAAAGAATATATTTAAAACAGGTAAAAATAGATGCTCTTTTGTAAAGGTCCCAGAGTACCTCATTATAAATTGCATGCATACACTGTTTTTCTGAAGTCTTGTGCATTTCAGATGCCCTTGGCTCCCATTCATTTTCTTCATAGGGACTGACGTAATTATTTGCATAATTATTAATAATAAATAAATAGATAGATAATAAATCAATAGAATCTAATAAAAAAGACTGTACAATTGAAAAAAACTACATATGTGACCCTGGAGTCTTAAGTCGCTGGGGTATATTTGTAGCAATAGCCAAAAATACATTGTATGGGTCAAAATTATAGATTTTTTTTAATGCCAAAAATCAGTAGGAGATTACGTAAAGATCATGTTCCATGAAGATATTTTGTAAACTTCCTACTGTAAATATATCAAAACTTTTAATTATTATTATAATTTATAATTATAATTTATTTTTAACTTATAATTTTTAATTTTTGATTAGTAATATGCATTGCTAAGAACTTCATTT